GTAATAGTTGGATTGAGAAGATCTGCAAAAAGAAAGAAACATTTTAGGAATGTTTGGCATTTATACTGGTATAGATAAACACATACCTGCTAAAATGTTTCTGGAAAGATTCCGGGTGAGGAGTCAGTGTGCAGAGCAGCAGTGGTCGAAAGGATCTGGAAAAAATAAACATAATATTGTTCACATTTATACTGATTAGGATAAAAAGATACTTCATAAAATATTTTCAGGGGGATTCCTGTGAATGAGTCCTGGAATAAAATAAACATGTTTTAAACATATGGATTAACATATACATCATAAATATGAACGGATTGCTGGTGTAGAAGTTACAGGGCCTAAAGAGGTCTCACACTTAACATTTAAATTATTATATGCATAGACAAACTTTTTAAAATATGAAGAAATGTCTGGTAAAAGTATGAAGATTCTTCAATTCCTGAATTGGATGTTAAACGACCGGCATCTGAATAAACAAACATATTAATGAATACATTAATGTTATATTTAGAAATTTTTATAAAACAGTTGATGTATTACCAAAGATAGAAGGAGACTCCTCATGAAGGAGTCTGTGTGGATTACATACAAATTACAATTGAGATTTTAGTATAATTGCCAAGTTAATGTTTTAACGATATTATAAATAATAGTAATAATAAATTAATAGTACTTTATGTAATAATTTAGATTTAATGTATTAAATTAGATTTTTGTATAATTGCCTTTTTCCACAGCTGTTAACCTAAACATCTGACGTATCAAAATTGACACTTAACTGACAGCACGACAATTATTGTTAAATGAATCATTCTTGAAAAGTTATGTTTTAACCATATTATAAATAATATAGTAATAAATTAATATGACTTTCTCTATTAATTTTATGATAAAAAATCGTTAGGCAAAAATCACTTGTTTTATTATTAAACGTGGTATTTGTGCAATATGGATAAACAGAGCATAGTTGAATTACAAACATTAGTTTCTAAACAGAAGGAACAGTTGACTAGATATGAAAATCGACTAAGGGGTAAAATCATATATATATATATATATATATATATATATATAGATATATATATTTATCTATGTATACTTTCAAAAGAAATCATACCGTATTCATAATATATTGTCTGTTAATATTAATGATTTGCATTAATTACGAAATTTCAGATCTTCTAACAGCATACAAAGGTCTTCTCAAAGAAAAGGAGGCTTTAGAAATAACATTAGCAACATTTAGTAAGAATGTCAATGAGACAAAATCAAGTGATGTTTTAAAAAAGACTGATAATACCAAAGCAACTGAGGATGAAGAGCATTCCGTATGCAATAATAAAATTAAACAGCTTGAAATTCAATTAGCCACAGGTTTGAATTCGTTAGCTACTCTATCTGCTGAAAAATCCCGCATGGAAGCTTCATTTCAAGCTGATAAAAAACAATTAAGACTTGAAAGCGATACAAAAGATAAACTTATAAGGGATCTTAAGGAATCATTAAAAAAGGTTGCTCTAAAACTAACACTGAATTAGAAACTTTAAAATCCAAGCTTATAATTGAAAGACATGACAGGGAAAAAGAGCAAAATGATCATGGAGTCATGATAAGGGAATTACAAAAACTTTTAAATGATGAGCGACATCTCAAAGAACAATTGGATATGCAAATAACAGATTTGAAAGCTAAGTTATATGCTAAAGTTAATGAAGCAGATCAAAAGTTTATAGATGTACAGAATGATGTGTGCAAAAATAAAGTCATCAGTAAGAACGTTGACAACGAATCTTTAGAAACAAATATTATGCTAGCAGAACTGCAAAATGAAATCAGCATGATGAAAAAGAAACATGTTGAGGCTTTAGAGCAAGAAAAGGAAAGAGCTAGGACAGCAGAGGAAAAATCGAGGTGAGAGCTAATAAATATTTTTGTAAAACTTACTGATTTCATAGTTTATCAAGGATATAGTTTGCTGACATTTTATCATTATCAATTATCAATTATTTGAAATTAAATTTATAAATGCAATGTCTAAAATAGGTTTCTGAATTTTGTCAAGAATTGTGATACAATGCCTAAAATTGTCAGATATATATATATATATATATATATATATATATATATATATATATATTCTGATTTAATGACAAAACATTTTCACAATTTAGATCATTAGCTGCATTGCATGAAGATCGAGTTGCCAATCTGGAAGCCCGATTGGCAGAACTTTCAGATACGGTTGGAGCATATGATCGTCTTAGGCAAAATGATTTATCAAATATACAAAAATTGAAAGATGAAATCGAAAATCTCTGCAAATCACAAAATACTAATTGCAAAGACCAAGTTGATTTTAATGATTCTGAGGATTTCACATCTTCTGGAGTCCACACAATCCTAGCCAAAATTTTAAAATTGAAAAAAATTCTGCTGATTGAAAATGATCGCCTTGAGAAACCCATAGACTTGAGTAATGTTTTTTCCCATGCGATTGATCACTCAAAATGTAAGGATGAATATAACAAACTAATGCAAGAGTATTACGAATATAAGACTAAAACTCAAAGTGCAAGATCAGCAAATGTGTCACTCGAAGTTTCAGAATTAAAATCACATATAAAATCATTGCAAGATGAAATCATTATTTTAAATGGGCAAATAGACAAAAATGAAGTCATCTACAAGGCTTCGTTAGAAGAAAAAACTCAGAATTTAATTGCTCAGAAAAATCACTATAAACAATTGATTTATGATATTGAAAATGATTTTAAAGAACATGTGAGTCAACTAGAGAAGCAGTTACAAAAACAAAGAGATAGATCAATAGGACTTCTTGAAGAAAAAGAACATGAAATTAAAACTCTGAAAGAATCTTTTGAAATTTTCTTACCAGGAAATTCTAAATTATATTTAGATAAATGCAAACCAAAGACTGAACAAGTTGACAGCCATAATTTACACCAGCTAAATAATGTTCTACAAGGTTTGAATGAGTACATTTATCTCATTTGTAACGAAATTTGTTAATAGTATCATCCATTTTTTATTTAATAGCAAAATTTCTTAAATTTTTTATTTAATTTTCTTTAATTTTTTAATTTTTAGGTGGCCCATCTATCACATCTGGTGAATCTCCGCATATGTTGCACTATGCACATGAGCTTGCTCGGAAAGATGTTGATATTACAGTGCTGAGAAGAACGTTACGGGAGTTAGATGACAAATATAGAGATGTAATTCGAGAAAAACATTAGCAGAAGATAGTTGGACTGAAAGAGAAAGAAAGCTTCTGGATAATATAAGCAGGTATACTTTTCATTATTTCATGAAAGATTTTTTCAAGAAATGTTTTCAAAGATATGCCTTCGTCTTCGATATGATCTTAACCGATTTGGAATATGATTAAATATGTATCTGAAAGAATCAAGACCAAGTGTTTAAGTATTCATTTCTTGATTATTTTTTATATATTATAGATTAGAGCGCAGCATATCGCGTGAGGGTGCTAATTTGGAATATCTGAAGAATGTCGTATTGAGTTACATTCTTTCTACAGATACATTTGGAAGAAGTCATATGCTAAATGCTATTGCTGCAGTTTTACAGTTTAGTCCAGAAGAGATGGAAAAAATCAACAAACATAATACAGTGAAATTGTATAGTAATACCACTACATCAACCTGATTTTTCTATTTTAATACTATATGATAAAGTGTAATAATCTCCTCGTGATGATTCCTGGACTTGTTAATATTTCTTTTTGCTTCAGATAGGAAATTTAAATAAAAACAAATGTTTCTTAAAAATAGGTATTTATTTTCGACGTTCCGTAACTATAAATGCTTTATCTCCAGGTTTCTTGTGATTTAAGTCAAAAATCTAAAAACCTGTTAAAACTTAAGCATCAGGAACACAAATAAATTGAATAAATGAAGCCATGAGTGAATATCTAAAGGTAACCCTTGATTGGAGTGAATTTTTGCAAGCACGAAATTAAAAAATGTGTGAGAACTTATGACCTGTTAGGTATTCTGAGAAATTATTGAACTGTAAAAGCCATATCTAACAATGACTATGCCCAGCCTTATGTCAGCCTAGAATGCTACATTAATAATAATTCAAATTATCAGAAAGAGAATTTCATCATAAATGAAGGTTCATTGTAATCCCAACAGAAGTCTCCAGGAAATATACCCCAGAATTAATTTGGTATCGAATCCTGCAGAGTGCTTTTTATGCACTATATAGATGATAAACTTATATCCATTTGTATTTGTATATTTAACAAATTGTACTACAATGGAATAAATTATTATCTAAATGGTTAGTAATTTTGCCTAGATATTTATCATGATGCAGATTGCATTTCATCATATTGTTCAAATGATATCTAATACTTATGATAATAAAATATATTTAGTTTCACTCTAAAATTTCAGAATTAACGTAATTAACATAATGATAATATAATTTATCAGAATGTTTTATCACTGAGTTTGTTTCTGTTAAAAATTACTTACTTTTCTTACTTGTTTTCTTTCCATATTCATAATCACATTCTCTGCATAACTCTGGATGGAGTGATTAATGTTTCTTTCTTTATTCTTTAGATTCAAGAATATGAATCCAAAGGACACCCTTGCACTGGTATATTACTGGAATTACATGCTTCTTATATTACAGAGGATTTCCATTGTAAAAATAGCGACTTTAGAAGCATCTGCAAGAATATAAATTTGTACAGATTATGTTATGATAAAATAATCAAATTAAAATATTGCTTACATTAAATTTTTACAATATTTTGTATTTGAATGTATTTTATACCAAAAAGTTAATTTTTTAATATAATTTAATGGATAATTATAATTAATTATAATGAATAAAATACCCATGGTGCAGTTTAAAATAAGTACCTATTCTAAGTTTTTATTTCATATTTAACATATATAATCAAAGGTTGATGTGTAAGAATTTATTTCGTAAAATTCCTATGTACCACCAATACATCTGATTGTATCCATTAAATATATACCTTATATTTATATTGAGATAACAATATTAATTACAACAATTTGTATTTTTTATTGGTTCTTGTGTGGAACTTTATTGAGAAATTAAAAGATAAAAATTGTTTTTATTAAACTTAGATTTACCAAGATGATGTGTTTTATTTAATTATACATTGAATTATCATCAGAGAATGCAAAATGTAATGAATGTTTTTATTAACTTTCAGTTTTCACGACGATTCAAGTCATTCTGAATCGTATGAGAAAAAAAATTGAATTGCATGAAATTTCACCAAAATCATCAAGTCTAATAATTATTCTACCAATCCTATGCATACTTCTTATTTATAGTCTTTTCAGTATTATTTTTCTTTAGACAACGTCGTGTAGGAAGCACTTTCTTTGCAGAATGAGTCCTCCATCCAATTCATTTGACTAATAAAACTCAGAAATTACTAAATTTGATTCAATATCCATAAATCTAATGGTGAATGATACATATGTCGATTTTTATGAACAGACATTTGCGAATTTACGCAATTTTGCGCAGTATCACAATCAGCCTGGCTAAATTCACCTTTGGTAATACTGTATCTGAATTACAATGTTATTTATTTAGAATATTTGTATATATATATTAGTATTTTTTCTTCACTTATTATTATTCTAATATAAATCAACTATGCGAAAATGTTGATGTATATAGTTATTTACCATATAGTGCCATAGACCATTACCATTACCATTTTAGTATCGAATATTGTTTAACAATTAATTAGGAAGAAACAACTAGGCCAATTCTTTTTAAAGAAAACTAATGAGTAATTTTTTGAATTTTTGAAATCGGTTATGATTAATTTTAGATAAACGGCTTCATAGATAAATAAACATAACGGCTTTTGCTGATCGGCGCGTATCTGCCCGAGTTATATCGAATGGCTAGAATTTTTGGAATCGGTTCTGAAAGAAAATTGATAAAATGTTAAACTTTGGCTCACGTATGCAAACGCGAACACACTTTTAGTTTAATTAAAAAAATGCCATTTGGCGGTCAAAAATAATTATTAGACTTAGGCATATGCAAATCAAATTATCAGATATTTTATAGAGATAGTAATAATAATTATAATTTTTTTATTTATTTGGGTCCGCACCAAAATTTGTAATGTTATAATATATTCTCAAAATGAAAAAAAATTAATGCTTTTAGAAGTTTTAAATTATGTACGGGAAGATCCAGCGATTTGCCTTAAGGCACGATGCCATGTACTACTAGTTAAATCTGAATATGTATTCAAAAGAAAAATATCGATGATTTGTTGACCACTAATCTGAGATCACTAACATGAGCTGGTAATATTAAATTTCAGTTTTTAATTTTAAGAAGAGGCGGCTCAGAATAAATCATGCAATTTTCGAAGAATGGCAAAGAAGTCAAAATACAGTTGCTTTAAATGGAAACATTTTAATTTTAGAAGCTTTTATTTACTGTGTCCATATCTTAATGTCATTTTAAGTGCCTGGCCCTAAGGTGTAGAGTTACGTTACATGATATCTGTTGAAAATATTCAAAAACAAACGCCGCCTCTAGCAAATTCATGAGACAATAAACAGAAGATGAAACCGGACGATATTTTTGGGCAATTCTTTGAATGGCGCTAAGATGTCTTGTGGTGAATTGACAAGTTGAGGTCATAAATCAAATGGATGTCTAGATGAAATCCTAAGATCTCATATTTATTTTTATTTATGATAATTAGGTTCAATGTATAGATTATACTAGTGGTGCATGGCATCGTGCCTTAAGGCAAATTGGAACTTCCCGTACCAAAACAAAATTATTAAAAAAAACTTTGAAAAAAAAAAGATTTTGTTGAAAAATTAGATTTTATTTTGTATTTTGATTTTTTTTAAATATTTTGAACAATTAGAGTCGAAATATGAAAGCGGGTTTAATGCTGCTTAGTCGTCTAACGTGTAAACATTGGTATGGAACCCATATAAATGTCGACAAAATTTGTACGTATCATTATAATCTTTATAAAACATCTGATAATACGATGTACATATGTCTAATGCTCATTCCTGACCACCAAATGGGATTATATTTTACTTTTTTTATTGGATCTCCGGAGACGCTAGACCTGCCTTTACAAGAATTTCACCAATTGTTCATTTCGTCAATACAAATAAAATGTTTTTTGAACTACTGAAATCGGATGCTCCGTTATCTCAAAAACTGAAATTACATTTCTGGCTCGTATCTCCGAAACGGCCAGACCAGGCTTTGCCAAAAACTAATAAGCACGTCTCCTTATCAATAGAAATCGAATGTTTTTTGAATTATTCAAATCGGTTGATCCGTGTTTGCAAAATCGTCGACAAAAATTTGTTTCCGCACACACACACATATATAGATACAAACACATCCATTTTTTCTAAGGTATGCCAAAATGTTCAGAAACCTCTGAAACGTAAAAATATATAAAAATTTTCATTTTTGATTTTTTTTGCGATTACTATAACTTACTCTACGGGTATAACCTCCCTACGGGTATAACTTACCCTACGGGTATAACTTACCCTACAGTTATAAATTACTTTACGGGTATAACTTAAGCTCAGTGTAAGTAGCATTTTGCCTTAACATTTAATAAAGAAAATCTGAAAAATTGTATATTCATTCGGCTTAGAAATATACAGTAAAAATTCCAACTAAAATTATTTTTGTTTCCTAATCTACTTAATATACTCTGTTTGTAAATAATATAATAATAAAATATCGTCGTTAGGTATTTATGGAAAGATAAAACGATATTGTTATTTATACCTATATCTTCGATATTATTTCTATTAATATTAATTTGAATTTCATGTAAGAAATTTTGAACATATCTATTATTTTTAACTGATTTATTTCCAAATGACAAATGGCAGAATTCCGTAATAGGATACAGATATTTAGGAAGAACAGGCGTTTTAACACATATATACCAAAAGCTATAAAAGCAGACCAAAGTCGTATTTCATTTCAAATACTTGACTGCAAAAAGCATTTTGGTTCTTTTTTCTTGGAATTTACAGAATGGTATCGATAAGATTATTTATCAAATATATTAAAAATACATGTTTCGAAATTGATTGATTTGATAAATATTGCATAACTGTTAAAAAATATATTTTAATATAAATAATTGCGAAAATTTCAAATGTTTTTTCCAACAATAAAAAATTCATTAGTACTTCCATACGTTTCAATTCTCGGTTTGATTCTTCCTCATTGAAAAAAACACGAAAAATATAAAATAAAAAAAAACACATCTAATTTTGTTATCTAATAAAATATCTGGATAGATGCCTGTTTTAAAGCTTTTTTGTTTTTAATATATATATTTCATTGCCTGAAAAATTATTACAGATTTATACATATATATTAATATACTACATAATCTATATGTATATTATATATATGTATGGTTGAATATATATGAAGGTTGAATAAAATTCAATATCGTTTATTTTTATTTTCGTTGAAATTACGTTTCCGTATGAACGATCTCGTTCTTTTGTGTGCTCTTGAATTTGTGGTCTAAGGAAACAGGAACTGTAAAATTCCTGGAGGATATTCTATATCGTGTTTCCTTTATAATGGTGATCGATTATCATAATTGATCCTACATGTCGTGGGTGAACGCGTTCATATTTTATTTTGGTTTAACGGAACACGCAAAAAAATACTGTTAGAAGGT